CTACAATGAAATTAGTAAATTTAAATTAGTTATTGAATTTGGCAATATATTCTTCAACTACTTCAAAAATGTGTTTTGGTATTTGTATTGGTATCGGGATACATTTTCAAGCCGGTACTGGTATTGAGACATAGTTGACTGAACGAGAAACAAATCAACATCATGCATGTATGTACCATGTACATACAAAATCATAGATATTCGGAAACATAATAATACATACATACATACAAACAAACAAACAACACGGACATACAAAAATACATACAAAAAACGAATACACACGCGCACACATGCACAACAACAACAACACACACACTCACAACAAAAACACTACAAATAAACACACATACACGCAAGCACTTATACACGTTAATACATACATACACGAACATGCATATACAAAGATATACACACGCACACATACATGCATATTCACACACACACATACACGTACATACATACATACACTCAGTAACCCAAGAAGCGCCGTTGTTTCTTTGTTCCCAACAAAAAGCCAGGTGTTCCATTCTTTTGTGTGCCAACGTATGTGCTACTTTTGTGTGCCAATGTGTGTGCGTGTGAGTATGCATGTATGTGTAGTCTATGTATTCTTGTATTTTTGTATGTGTATTTATGTGTGTGTGTGTGTGTGTGTGTGTGTGTGTGTGTGTGTGTGTGTGTGTAAGTGAAAGCCAAGCGCTAAACAATGGAGCATGGATCATTATGGCAAAACATTGTTCCATCGGAGGACAAAAATTTTCATTTGAAGTAAACTTATAAATATTAATTTTGACAAGTATTATTTTTTTAAAGTATTAATTATATAATTATGGTTAGCGAATGTATTTCGTCTTGAAAAATTAGATAATAAATTACAAATTCTAAAGGAAACTCTGAAACAAGCAACTCAAAAAACTTTTATTTGTATTCATTTTTTCAAAAAGAAAACTAGCAAAACCGTGCAATTTAACCTGATAATTTTTTGTTTCTTGGTGTTCTTATTTTCAAGCTAAATTGAGAGAAGTTCGGTGTTTTCCGAATCAGAATTATGCCACTTCCAGTCAACACACACACACATAAATACATACAAAAATACAGAAATACAAGCACATACACACTCATACACATACATAACTACATACAAAAATACAGGAATACATAAACTACACATACACACATAAATTAACACACACACACACACACACACACACATATATATATATTTATTTATAAACATCTGTCAAAATAATTAGAAGGAACAATAAAACCAACCTTCTCCACAATTTCATCAACACAACCGTACAAAGATACACCTTGCGTTCTATACAGATGCAAAATTATTTGGGCACGTAATGATGTTTATACATAATCACGGAAACAAACAAAGAGACAAATGTACATACATACATACATACATACATACATACATACATACATACATACATACATACATACATACATACATACATACATACATACATACATACATACATACATACATACATACATACATACATACATACATACATACATACATACATACATACATACATACATACATACATACATACATACATACATACATACATACATACATACATACATCATACATACATACATACATACAAACATGCGTACAACTATACAAACATACAAATATATTTACAAACATACATACAAGTATATACAAGACATTATGTTACAGAAGCAAAAGACCCACATACAAACATGCACACGCACATATTTATATCTACACACAAGAACATACATACGTAAGCATAAAAAATTTATACCTAAAAATACACACACGCACACACATAAACGCACACATACACGCACAATGTACATCTGCTCAGTCAATTACACACACACACACACACACACACACACACAAATAAACACACACACACACAAACAAACATTCACACATACACATTAACACAAGCACACACACATTAACACACAAATCACACACACACTTAAGTATGCAAATATTGGAATAAGTATATATATATATATATATATATATGTATATATATATATATATATATATATATATATATGTGCACAAAGGCACATGCATTTGAGACTTTTTTATGTGTTTGTTCAAATAACAAGAATTTAAATACAAAATCAAACACATCAGATATATAGAGACATCAACAAACAAAAATGTATACGAAATTGCATGCATAAGCATACACACACTTACACACACATATAAATTACACATACGCATACATAAATACACACATACATACATGCATGCATTCGAAATTCTACTCTGCCTAGTCACACCTAGCGCATCTAGGAACAAGTTCACCGGGGCATTGGAAGTTCGAGGAGTCATACCAAAACGTACGCACACATACAAACATGCATAATAATTGGCACATTTATACATACACATACATGTGGTACACATACACACAATAAATAACACAAACATAAATGTAACATACATACATACACAGATGTATATGTATGTATGAATGTATTATATACGTTATCTTACTTACATGCGTATATACGAAATTTGTATGTATGTATGCATATATATAAAGATATGTAATTGTAGATGTGCTACCACGGAGCTCCTCTAAGTTTAAGAAGACGTTTGACGAATTTTCTTTTTAAAAATCGTTTGCTTAATCGTCATTAATAATAATAATCTATAATTATATAATTAATATAGCATAATTATATATATATATATATATATATATATATATTAGAATTAGAGAATAATATATAATTAAAGAAAGAATTAAAAACGTATTTATTTTCTTTGGTTTAACATTTAGTAGTTTTCTTTAAATCGTTCACTCGTATACAGTCTTAATTATGTGAGTGCATTTGAGATTTTTTTTATTTAATTAGCGCTATATAAATGAACATTAATAATAATAATAATCAATAATAATATATGCATTTTTATACAAACATATACAAACATGTACATTTACATACGCTGCTAGAAATATACAAACACATATACCTTTGAATTAGTATTAAAACATTTATTTATGAAAGGGAAATAACATAAAAGTTATTTATTTGATTATTTCGTCAAAAGCTCTGGTTCATTGTCGAGTAGATTGATTCGATTGGATTTGATTGAAAGTTAGTATATTTCTAACGAAATTCATTTATAACAGTTATAATAGCGTTTTTTATTTGTTTGAAAAAAAGTTTAATTTCGCTAGGTGTCTTTTTGATGAATTTGTCATAAATTTAACGCAACAAATTCGTTTTATTCTTTATTTTTATATAATTATCAAAATTATTAAATATTATTTTGAAAATAATTAATAAAAAATATAAAATTAAAAAAAAATAAAATAAACACCACAATTTGTAATAAATATTCTTTATAGAAACATTTTAAAAAGCTATCGGTCCGTGGCATCGCGTACATATTGCTAATGAGAGAGATGAAATTTCAAAAATATAGTTTTATATAAATAAAATTATTTTAAATTATTAATTATTTTTTAGGATTAATATAATGTATTAAAATTCATTTTATCGTTGTGGTATACTGATTATTATCAATTGTTACCTTAATATCAATTGTAATAGTATCAATTATTATCCAAAAATGGTATGATAATCGTCACCAAAAACAAAGAACATCGTCATCTTTATCATCATCATCGTCTTTATCATCGTCTTTATCATCGTCATTATCATCACTATCAACAAATTCAAAAACATTTCCGTTAACAAAAATAACAACATCGTCATCGTCATCATCGTCATCATCATCTTCATCATCATCCTCGCTGTCATCATCATCGTCACCATCACGTCCTTCTACATGTGATCACGTAGTATTTAATATGACGACGTAAAAAGATATAATGAAAAAGTCATCATCATCATTATCATCATCATAATCATCATCTTCATCATCGTCAGATATTTTGTCATCATCTTTACCATCATCGTCATCATCATCATCGTCATCATCATCGTCGTCGTCGTCTTCATCATCATCAAGATTATTTATTGTTGACGTTTTATTGCTTACACGCTGTTCTCGTCATCTTTCAGCAAATATTTGAGTGAATGAATGAATGAAAGAAAGAATGAATGAACGAATGAGCGGATGAGTGAACGAATAAATGGAATAACGTTAACAAAATTTATATAGAAACAACTTACAGTTGAGTAACATGCTTCTTGTTGAGATTGTAAGGGAGAGTTTTGAGGCTGAGATGCGCGCGTAGATTTTAGAAATATACTAAAATGGAAAAAATGACATTAAGAAAGAGAGATAGATAGATAGATAGATAGATAGATAGATAGATAGATAGATAGATAGATAGATAGATAGATAGATAGATAGATAGATAGACAGACAGACAGACAGACAGACAGACATACAGACAGACAGGCAGGCAGACAGACAGACAGATAGATAGATAGATAGATAGATAGACAGACAGACAGACAGATAGATAGATAGATAGATAGAGAAAGAGAGAGAAAGAGAGAGAGAACGATCTAAAGTCATCGTCATCGTCATCACTATTATTGTCATCAACGTACGTCGTCCTCATGGCCGTCACAATGGAATGTTTCGACCCAACACATAACAAGAATGTCATCATCATCATCATCCTCCTCCTCATCATCGTCATCATCTTGGTAGTCATACTTATCCTTACAATCATCATCATCATCATCATCATCCTTGTTATCATCGAATTTTCATCGAATTGATCAATATTATAATTATTTCAATTGTTGCTATTATTCTTATTTTCCAACCAATCACAACAAACCACAACCAACCACAAAAAACTCAACCGCAACAACCTAAACAACAGCAGCCACCAATGTCGCAAGGGGACGCAAGCAGCAACAACACCACAAGCGACGAAGACAGCAACAGCAGCTGCGGTAGTAACGACAACGTCGGCAACAACTACAGCAGCAGCAACCACAACTACGACAACAGCCACAACGACAACGACGACGACCAGCTACACGGTGGTGTGGATAGTGATGGGATTTGGAGTCCGGATATCGAGCAGAGTTTCTTGGAAGCTCTTGCCATCTACCCCCCGTGCGGTAGGAGGAAGATCATCCTCTCGGAAGAGGGGAAGATGTATGGTGAGTGAATAAATGAATGAATGAATGAGTGAGTGAGTGAGTGAGTGAGTGAGTGAGTGAGTGGGTGAGTGAGTGAGTGAGTGAGTGAGTGAACGAATGAATGAATGAATGAGTGAATGAACAAACGAACGAATGAATAAATGAATAATTATAAAAATAATCAAATGAAAAGAGATTTTTTCAAAGTTTCAAATAAGCTCACTTTGTTATCACAGCAAGTGCGTGACATTTAACGGAGCCATTGATGGATAAAAGATGTTGACCGCCATGATGATGACGACAATGATGATGATGATGATGATGATGAAGATAGTGGTGATGATGACAATGATGGTGATGGTGATTAATTTGTTCATTCATTCAATTATTTATTAAATCATTCATTCTTTTGATCATTCTCTCATTTAATTATTTATGTCTTATTTGTTTTTTAGTTCACCAGTTCATTCGCTCATTCAACCATTCATTCATTCATTAATTCATTCATTTGTTCGTTCGTTCGTACGTTCGTTCGTTAGTTCGTTCATTCTTTTAATGATGAATAAGCAGATGAGTATTTTAATATAAATTATGAGATATTGTGATTATAATGATTATAACATTAATAATAATAATTATTATTATTTCTACTATAATCATAACCATGACCACGGTGAGCATGTGTTTCTATTTCCTATCAAAGATTAATTTTAAGCATAAGATTAGGCGCTTTGTGTATATGAGTTATTGTTCTTTGCTTGGCTGGCTGTTATTGCTTTTCTGGTGTTACTGTTCTTTGGTGTTGTTGGCTGTTCTTTGGTAGTAGCCTATGTTTGTTCTTTGGTAGTAGTGTTTGTTTGTTCTTTGGTAGTAGTGTTTGTTTGTTCTTTAGTGGTAGAGTTTGTTTGTTTTTTGGTGGTAGAGTTTGTTTGTTCTTTGGTGTTGTTGTTTTTTGTTTATTTTCTGGATTTTCATAAAGTTTGTTGATGTCTTTGATGTCGGTGTAGTTTTTTTTTATACTGTCGTTGTTCAATTCATCTAACAATCCATTCAGTCATTCATTCATTCAATCATTCATTCATTCATTCAATCATTCATTCATTCATTCATTCATTCATTCATCCATCCATCCACCCATCCATTCATCCATCCATCCATCCGTCCGTCCATCTTGTTGCAGCATTGTTGTTGTGAGTTGTTGGTCGCCATGGTGATTGTTGTCATGGTGACGATTGTCTCGAGAACGCGCGCGTACGTCGAAGCCTCGTAATTGTTTGTTGATGGAGGGTCGATGATGATGATGATGATGACTGTGATGAAGTTGAAGGTGACGATGATTGTGATTATGGTAATGAAGAGGATGATAAAGATTGTGATGACGACGACGATGATGATGATGACGATAATTGTTGCAATGATGTTGAATGTGAAAGTGTGACGATGATTTTGTTGTGTGGCTAAGATGATGTTGATGATGATGTTGTTGAAGATGATGTTTTATAATAATAGAAAAATTAACAACAACAGCAACAACAACAACAATATTAATAATTACAATTATTATTTTATTATTATTATTTTTAACGTAATATCTCAGGCCGGAACGAGCTGATTGCAAGGTATATAAAGTTGAGAACTGGGAAGACACGAACAAGAAAACAAGTGTCAAGCCATATACAGGTTATAACTACTGCTACTACTACTACTACTGCTACTACTGATACTGCTGCTACTACTACTACTGATACTGCTACTACTACTACTACTGCTGCTGCTACTTCTACTACTACTACTACTACTACTACTACAGCTACTACTACTACTTCTACTACTACTACTACTACTAATACTACAACAACTACAACAACAACTACTACTACAATTACTACTACTACTGCTACTACTACTGCTGCTGCTGTGGTTACTACAACTAAATAGCCATATATTCTAAACTTTCCAAGTCAATATGTCATAAAACCACAAAACCCAAAATCGTGTTAATGTTCACCTTTTTTCTTCACCCATCTTCTCAGGTTCTCGCCAGGAGAAAGTCGAAAGAAATACAGGCCCATGTTAAAGTAAAAATCATCATAGAGTATTTTATTTTGAAGTTTTTTTTTTTGTATTCAAATTTTGAAATTTTAAAGTCAACATTTTGCACTCTGATCAAAAAACCGAAAACTTGAAAATGAAAATGAAACCGGGAAATGACTAACTTTAAAGAATTTTTTTCCCGAAATTATTTTACAACTATTTGAAAGTTTTGTAAAAATAATTCACAATCAAATAAAAAATGATACCAGGGGAAAAAATTATGGAGACTGCTAAACTTGGTTTTATCAGATCAAACAATCCTCTAATTGATAGTTGTTTGAGGCCATTGTTTGCAAAATTTTTATTAAATTCAACATAAGCACAACATCACAATAACACCAAAAACAATAATAACAACAACCACATAACAACAATAACAATACAACAACAACAACCGCATAACGACACCTATGACAACGACATGAATAGCAACATAACAACGACAACGACAACATCATCATCGACAAAACAAAACAAACAACAACAACAATAGCATCAACATAACAACAACAACACCATCAGCACAACAACATCAACAACATACAACAACAGCAACAGCAGCAACAACAACATCAACCATATTTTCAAAATAGCACTAACTTCACTTGGAACGCTTACAGCAATGAATCCAACGTCTCCAACGGCTGTCACATTAATGACAACAACACTGCTAGCAACAAAAACAACAACCTGGATAACATCAATAACAACCACAACTTGGATAACATCAACAACAACAATAGCAACAACAACAACAACAGCAAAACAAATTTCAAATTAATATCGTACAAAGCATTTGTACAGTCAAACAAGAATAATGTTGGTAACAAAAAATTACACCAACAAACACACTGTCACATCAACAACAACACACCAACAACAACAACACATCAACAACAACACAACAACTACTATAACACAACAACAACTACTACTACAACTACAACAACATTATCACACCATCATCAAAAATTATTTTATAAATTAATTTTAAAAATTATCATGTAGTATGTATATGTAAAGGCGTATCTCCATGCCTTAAACGCCAACCATGTTTGCGTTCGAATCCTGTAACGATATATCCGCTAGCTGGTTGCGCTAGTGAATGAATGAATGAATGAATGAATGAATTAATTAATTAATTAATTAATTAATTAATTAATTAATAACAAACTGAAATGGAGAAATATTAAAAAAATTTTTTCATTTATGAAACAGAAGAGGCACAACTTCATAAGTCTAACGAGTGATGCCCTGTACAACAATCCCAAAATTCAGGTTGTTGTTGATGTGGTTATTGTGTTGTTGTTGTGGTAGTTGTTGTTGCTGATGTTGTTGTTGTTGATGTTATTTGTGCTTTTGTTGATGTTGAATTTCAAGATTTACTAGTAAAACTTTATAATAAAGAAAGAGTGAGTGAGTGAGTTAATGATTGAATGAGTGAGTGATTGAATGAGTGAGTGGGTGGGCGAGTGAGTGAGCGAGTGAGTGAGTGAGCGAGTGAGTGAGTGAGTGAGTGAATATTACAAGTGTCGAAGCAATAAATGATGATTTTTGAAAAAAATAATTTCATCTCACTCAGATCCTGCCCCTTTCAGACGTCATCGAAAAATTTCCAGAAAGTTTACTGGTTCTTATGGAACAGCACCCAACCAGCAATGAGTTCTACGTTGTTAAGTTTAATGTATGTATCTCTGTGTGTGTGTATGTATGTGTGTGGACTCATATCTGTATGTATCAGTGTGTGTATTAGTATGTATGTGTGTGTAAACGTCTGTGTGTGTATGTGTGTGAACTCATATCTGTATGTATCAGTGTGTGTATTAGTGTGTATGTGTGTGTATATATCTGTGTGTGTATATACCTGTGTGTGTGTGTGTGTGTGTGTGTGTGTGTGTGTGTGTGTGTGTGTGTGTGTGTGTAAGTGTGTGTGTGTGTGGTGTATGCCTCATTATTTTTAGTAATTTAAAAAAAAAAATTTTTCGATTTCCGATTAAGCTATCAAAATTAATTAACCCACCCAGACCAAATTAAGCACAGAGTTGTTGAAGGCAAACGACAAAGAAGATGGCTGCCAAGATTATGAGGATGGTGGGGGTGGAGGTTGTGGTGGTGGTGGAAGTGGTGGTGGAGGTAATGGCGATGAAAATGATGCGAATGTTGGCAAAGATGATGATGCTGTTGAGAAAGATGACGTATTTTATGGAATCTCCAATCAGTTAGTTTCGCTTTCGCTCTACCCCACTACATTTTGCCACCTGCTTGCTAGAGTTTTCATCATTCTCTTCAATATATTCTCTCTCTCTCTCTCTCTCTCTCTTTCTCTCTCTTTTTCTCTCTCTCTCTTTCTCTCTATTGTTTAAACTTTCACTTTTAAATTAACTCATTTTTTAATTGTTATCTATTACTTTTTTTTATTCATTCACTTATAAATTCATATACCCATTCAATCGCTCACTCATCAGTTCATTCATTTTATCTATTTATACATTCATTCAACCATTCATCATGCAATCCATCATTTATTCGTTTCGTTAACTCGTTAACTTAATTTTTCACTCACTCGCTCGTTCACTCACTCACTCACTCACTCACTCACTCACTCACTCACTCACTCACTCACTCACTCAGTTATGAACATAGTGACAACATCACCATCAACATCTCAACTAAGATCTGCTCCTTCGGCAAACAAGTCATCGAGAAAGTTGAAGTAATAATAATAATAATAAATAATAATAATAATAAATAACATTAATAATAATAATTATTGTATTAATATTAACAATGACGTTATTATGTAGTATTAGTATTTTCGTAAAGATGGTGTGTGTGTGTGTGTGTTGTTGATACTCCTGAAGCAAAGGCAGCAGAGCCAATGAACTTTAACTTATAACTTTTGTGTTTGTGTGTGTGTGTGTGTGTGTGTGTGTGTGTTGTTGGTACTCCTGAAGCAAAGGCAGCAGAGCCAATGAACTTTAACTTATAACTTTTGTGTTTGTGTTTGTGTGTGTGTGTGTGTGTGTGTGTGTGTGTGTGTGTGTGTTGTTGGTACTCCCGAAGCAAAGGCCTCAAGAGCTAATGAACTTTAACCTATAACCTTTCGTACCATACCTAGATTGAAACTGGAACAACAACGGCAACGCCAGCAAATTCACCACCACCACCACAGCAACAACAACAGACGCAAACATCATCTTCGCCATCATCGTCAAAGACATCATCATCATCATCGTCGTCGTCGTCGTCGTCATCACCACTAGCAGTCGCTTCAGTAGCCACAAAATCAGAAGCCACAGCAACGACATTTAGTAACGATAGATCTTGCATGTGCGAATATATGGTGAATTTTATTAACAAACTGAAAAAGTTGCCTAGCACAGAGCTTATGAACAGCGTCTTAGATAACTTCACCGTGATACAGGTTTTGTTAGAGTTGTTGTTGCTATTTTGTTGTTGTTGTTGATGGTTTGTTGTTGATTGTGTTGATTTCGTTTTATGATGTTGTTTTTGGTTTGTTGTTGGTTTTGTTAGAGTCGTTTATTTTGTTGTTTTTTTAGTTTTTGCGAATGCCGTTGTTGTTGTTGTTGATGATGTTTTGTTGTTGATGTTGTTGATTTTGTTTTATGATGTTGTTGTTGTTTTTGTTGCTGTTCTTGTTGCTGTGACATTTGTTATTTGTCATTATCATTACCATTATCATCATCATCATCGCTGTCGTCATCATCACCAAATAATCTCTAAAACCACCACCATCATCATCATCATCATTGTCAACATCAGCATCATCATCATCATCATCATCATCATCATCATCATCACAATCATCATCATCACCAACAGGTCATCAAAGACAACAGTAGCAACAAACTCCTCTTATGTGTTGTCATGCTGTTCGAAGTGGGCGCGTCCAACCAACAACCAACTGTCTATCAAATAAAGCGCTAGATAACAACGATATCAACAACAACAACAGTGATATCAACAACAACAACAACATTAACAGTGATATCAACAACTACTACAACATCAGCAACAACAACAACTACAACAACTACAACAACAACTACAACAACAACAACAACAAAATCAAACCCATCCTCGTCGATAAATTAATTCAAGTAATAAATTAAGTCAATATCAGCAACAACTACTACAACTACAACAACAACAACATTTACTACAACAACTACAACTACTACTACTTCTAGAAAATTTACGACGACATGAGCATAAACAACGACACGACTGTTTGCGCTCGTGTGTGTGTTACATGAATGAAGTAATGAATGAACGAACGAACGAATGGACGAATGAATGAATGAATAAACGAATGAATGAATAAACGAATGAATGAATGAATGAATGAATGAATGAATGAATGAATGAATGATAAATGATAAATGATGAATGAATGAATGAATAAACGAACGAACGAATGAATGAACGAACGAATGAATAAATAACTATTCATTCAATTTTTTTAAAATTGATGTTTATCAATGAAGAACAAGTAAACGAATAAAATACATTCTGGTTGATGGCTGGATGTTTTATGATTTGGCAGCTGACGGATGATTTGATTTAGCTAGAATCTTCTGTAATAGCCACTGTCTTAAAATTATTAAATTGCCCTACAAGCTATTGATCAATGATAATCTTATGATATATTTATGGACTTTGTGAAAATCTCAAATTTGCCACCACATTTTTCATAAATTGTCTTTTCAATTGTTTTTTCAAAATTTTAAATAAACATTGAATCACTAAACGCTAGTTGATAAAATTCGTTTTGAAATATTGCACAAATTGGAACAAAATCTTGCAGGATTATTAATTTATCTGCGAATTAGAAAATAACGATACATGGTCATCTTTTAACTGACATAAATGAACGAATTTTGTATTCAATCGTGAGCCCTTACTTGAAGATATAACATTTTTATTTACGCTACTCCTCAAATTTGTTTGCGATACCAGAAACTTTTGTTACGAATTTTTGTTCGAGGATCGGTTGGGCCATGATGGGTGAAAACACTAAAAACGGGTCAATTTTCTCATCCCTTTTAAGTTTTTTCTCAAGATTAATAAATTGGGACTTGCATTATTTTGAAGAACAAGAACAGTGTGGGTTTTATTATTCAATTTTCAAGCGAAAAAATGTAACAATTTTTAAAATGAATTTAGTAATTTATTCATTCTTCCAAAACAAAAGTCTACGTCTTTTTATTTTTTCCATAGACACGTTAGTTACGCAAAACTTTCGGAATTTTTTCACGGTTTAACAAACTTTCCCATGAAGAAGACTGTTTGAAAGTTGTTGTCCTTGATGAGGAAGATGAACGGATAATCGGCGTTGAAAGACACGTACTCGATGGCGGATCTTGCTCTTGGCTGACCGCCAGTAGCAGCTGCAGCCACCGTTCCTCCTTCGTTGACTTCAATGAAAGCTTTGTGCACCAGCTTGGAAACGTACAAGTCGTTCTTCATGTTCATGTTGTATAAATCTGCTTTTCCTTCTATGAACAGGTCGGTGAGGCCTAACTTTTGCAACTTCTCCATCACTTTTGGTTCGTTTGTCAGTGAGAACTTTGTTAAGCGAATTTTCAATTTAGTTTCAGTCAATCTTTCGTTGATTTCCAATAGTACGCCGCTTTCCAATATTTTTTCGACGTTTTCCAAAGTTGTTTCATTCAAATTTGGTAAAAGTATAACAAAACTCATCGATTGGTTCTCATAGGGCAGTTCCAAAATCTGACTATTCAGTTTCTCGAAGTTACAGTATTTTGCATCCAATCTTCGAATTTCCATGAATTTGGTATTAACAATTGACTCTGGATTTATTTTGAATTCTCCACTCTCTGTTCTCTCAAATTTTGTTTTCCACTTTCCTTCAAAATAAATAGCGTTAACAAGAATCGATAACCCTAACCCTAACCAACATCATCTGCAGATATCAAGTTTTTAATTTTTTCTTTCGTAAGCTCTTCGACCCAACGGTTTATTTTTGCCACACTGGCCGGTGCACCATTTCTGGAAATGATTATTTCAAAAGTTTTCATTCATTGAAAGCGCATAGGTGAATTTTTGAAAATCAATAAAACGTTTGAAAAACATTCAATATTTACTTGAAATCTACATAATTCGGACGACTTCCGTAGTATTTCTGACAACCGTCAATAAAACTTTCAACCAGAGTTCAGACTGTTCAAAGAACAGTCGATTTGCAATGTGAATCTCTTGTGGGCTCTTCGTATTTTCCAAAAAAGATTTCATCTCAAGCAAGCCTTGGTGCACGTCAGCACTCATCATGATCCCAATTTTCATCACCGATTTCAACTGTCTTTCGGTGTCCCCTTTTTTAAAACATTTTTATATCTATAACATCAAACTAACTTGATAACAAGTATAGCAATTTATTTGAAAAAATGATATGTCATTTGTATGTTTATATTGTTGGCCAAAACTGAGCAGATGGCCTCAATAGACCACTTTTAGTTTTTAGTACAGAAACGAGTTTGACAATGTTAACAGAACAATTGTTAGTAGAAAACTTTGTTTGGACGGTCGAATAGGCTTATAAATTATCGTCAAAACTACAATGTATAATATATATAAACCTACAATATCACAAGCAAAGTTAAGTAATTAGATTCGAGATTTAAGACGAATGAGTGGAACTGAAAAAGATATATTACAATAACTATATGAAAAATAAATACACAAAAATAGAGTCGTAGTTCATTGTTAGTTATACAATAATTAAAAATTTATTCAAATCGATAGAAAGCAGATGATTTTTAAAGTTAGCAAGTGAGGTTGAAGCGACCACTTCAGCTGCCATCCACGACTCCCTATTAGAGAAAAAAAAATAATAAGAGTGATGGGATGAAATGACCACTTAGGTCAGTTTGGATGAGGCTATGTGGTGTTTTTTTTTAAATTTTATTTTCTCAAATGTTAAAATGTAACCTCTAGAGCCAAGTAGAGTGAGGCCAAGAGCAAACATGAGACTGACGGGTGAAAAGAATACATTTTCCTGTGGATTTCCAGCAACCAGCTCCTTGTAAAGGGAAATACCAAACTCCAAGTTGGTATTAACAACATCCACTCTCATTTTGATGGGTCGTTTTCTCAACCTTTCAACTACAGTAACACGCAAAATATGGCAGCGAAAAGTCGTTAAAAATTTGTTAATGTTTAAAGTCAACGACAACAGAGAAGAAACTCAGTTTAAACTGCTCCGAATTTGATCTTTTTATGATGGTAATAATTTAAATGTTTAGAAAAATATATAAAACTAACAAACCAGCCAGTAACACTTTCTGAAAATTATAAAAGAATTTCAAGCAAACAAACAAACAAACAATTATCACGAATCTGATAACATTCCTCACTTACAAAAACGCATTCATTGACAACTCGGAAAATAATGAAATAATCACTGCAATCTAATTGTCGCATCAATCGTAAACAGATGAAATTTAATAGACGAAAAACTTTTACTGACATTTCGATGAAAAATTAATTTGACAGCTGAGTCCAAATGCCTTTCTAGTTTAATGATTTCGTTTGCAAATTAACATTTCAAACTGTTATATATATATATATATATATATATATATATATATACACACAATGTGTGTGTGTATTGTGTATGTGTGTTTGTGTGTGCGTGTGTGCGCGCGCGTGTGTTTGTTTGTCTGTTTGTGTGTATACGTGTGTGTGTGAATGTGAAGTGAAAAAAAATGACAAATTTGATGTCAAATTAAAGTATGGTTTTTTAAGTTTTAAATTAAGTTATATTACGTTAAATTAAAATCTAAGTATGCTAAAATTGAAATACAAGTGAGGAGCGGACTTGACGCAATGCAAAAAACAACCGAAGTGATGAAGCTTGTCAGGCTAAGAATCTAAAACTAACTTGGAGTCAATCTATGAAAGAGAAGTTTCAGGCAGGCGTTGCTGAGAAACAGGTTATTGCAGTTGTGAAAGAAAGGATGAGATTAAATATGATTGCAGAATTGAAAGAAGAATGTGGACTCTTTACTTGTCTGTATGAAGTTGAGTAATACACGGAGTCGGACAACACTGAGACCAAGAAGCGGAAAAGAATGAAAAAAAATATTCACTCAGCAAGAGACTAAAAAATTTAGTGTTATTCATTTTTGGAATTTTTGCGCGGTCAGTAACTCGATGCAAATGGTGTTGTGTTAAAATTCAGGAACTCATGATTACCACCACCCCTACACCGCTACTTTTGATTCACCTCTCTCTCCTTTCCTCTCTCTCTCTTTCTCTCTCTCTCTCTCTCACTCTAACTCTGCCTAACACTTTTAAAAAGTCAAAAGAATGTTTGGTTGTTTGGTCCGTGTTATTTTAATATTAAATGTTTTAAATTATATTATTTTATTTTATATTATATTATTATATTTAATTTTATATTATATTATTATATTATAGCATATAATAGAATTATTTTCATTATGAACATTTATATAGTGCTTTTTCAATAAAATTATGTACGTATTATGGCTGCTAATGTTGTTGTTGATTGTTTCAATTTTAATGACAACGAGCTGATGTAGTTATTGCTTTAATACGATACGATACGATACGATATGTGATACTCTATGATACAACATATGATAGGATTTGATATAATATATCACGATATGATTACTATATGATATATTACTATAAAGTATGATATAGTTTGATATGATACAACATATGATACGATATGGTATGATATGATTACAATATGATATATTAAGTTACAGTATGATACAGTTCGATATGATACTGAATTATTCAATCGTCAGACAAGGCAAGTTTTAATTACTTGTGTTTTCTATGAATGTTTGATATTATTGTCTGACGAATTATAATTGCAGGGTTAATTTTTTTGGGGAATACTTCCTATAATAATGAATGGCTTGTAATGGGAGTTAAACTATTTGCAATTATGTATGTAATTCATGAAAATAATATATATATATATCTGTGTGTGTGTATTATTGTGTGAATTCTACATAATTGTTGGCATTATTCAATTGTTTAAAGTTTTAAATTGATTAATGACAACAATTCGGTATAATTCACACAAGGCTGTGATTGACTGTATTAACGAGTGTGTAATTAGCATCGGCATTTAGGAACTATACGTAGACAGTTTTTTCTCCGAATTGAAATTCATTTTAAAATGGTCTTCTTGGTTTTATTACTAAGAGTAAACAAATTGCAGAATATATTTGGAGCTATGACTCCTACCCTGGATCAGCCACTGTTTGTCAATTATACTTCTAAGAAATACTTAAGTGAGAATTGTTGGAAAATGTTCACAATCAATTAAGAATTTTTATAATTTGTTTAAGAGTTTGCCTATCATATAGGCTGTCAAATTTTATCATTTCATGTTTATATAGATTTGTGTTACAAGCCCATTACGTATTTAAAAATGGAGATCTCTCACTACCCCTCATTATTTACATTTTTACTAAATATTTAAATTCTTCACTCAAGTGTAGAATAACATGTAGGCAGCTCTGCTTTTGACAGAGCTGTGTTATAATGAATAAAATAAACTTTCTTGTTAAAAAGAATGGGCAAATTTTAAGGCCAAAGGCAGTAGCATTACCTATTTTCCTTTGAACCTCGCCCTGATTTATGTTAATTGCATTTCATTTACCTTATAATCTCATAAAAGACACAAAATTTACTGTTTCAGAGAGTAGCGCTCGACCGATGACGGCTGCAAAATTGATGTAAGAAAAATAATGATAATATAATATTATATATCATTGCGCTAATGGGGTTCGAATCATTTCTTACTAGTCGGATTCGGCAAATTTTTTACTCTAGTGGTCTCTCGGAACCAATGAAACTTACGTCAGGAGTGCCTCTAGGATCTGTTCTTGGACCGATCCCCTTCTATTTGTACGTTGCAGAGATATTGGATTTACTGAATAAACGTGGTTATTATTGTCATTGGTACTCAGATGACATGCCGATTTGTGTTTCAGGTTTCTGGGTGAGACGCCTACCTTATTAGAGAAACTGACAAAAACTATATCTGATGTCGGATCGTGGCTGGGTCAAAGTAGGCTAAAGTTGAATCAGACTAAGACTCAGTTCGTGTTGGCTGGTACATGGCAACAAGCGTCAGCGATTGAGCCTTTATCGATTAACATCAGTGTGACTGATATAAGTTTCAGTAAAACGGTCACCGACTTGGGAATTGTGATGGACTCCCGTATGACGATGGGTCCACAAGTCAGTCTATTGGTTAAAAAATGTATGTTCCAACTACGTCAGTTACGTCAAGTTACAAAATCGGTAGATAGAGATACAATGACTCTATTAGTACATGCTTTCATACACTCTAGATTCGATTATTGTAACAGTCTTCTATATGGTACAGCTGATAAACTGTTGTCCAAACTTCAGAACCAGGCTGCGAAAATGATATGACTCAAATTAAAATTTTATCGTGCATCACCAATTCTAAAGGAGTTGCATTGGCCGCGTGTTAAAAAAAAGAATCATGTTCAAGTTAGGTGTAATGGTATTTAAAAGTTTGAATAGTTTGGCTCCGAAATATTTAGAAGATAAATGTATTAGAGTTTCATCGATGTCATAACTCTGCCTAATTACTAATTAACTTCAAGAGCTATCATCAACAGCAGCGCGCGCACGCACGCACACACAAACACACACACACACACACAACGCATGTGAGATAGGGATTGACGTTTAACAATACATCCAATAAAAATTAACCGGTATGAAATATTTAAAAATGTTTAGAAACTTTCGTTCTCATATAAATTTGTTATTAAATTAATCAACAAAAATAATTATTATTATAATTGTCATCTTCATCATCATCATCACCGTAATCAACAATATCATCATCACCATCAACTTCGTCATCGTTACTATCATCAACTTCGTCGTTGTCATCACTTCTTGCATACACCATGGTAGTATCCGACTTTGAAGCTGCTGAAGTTGCAGTTGAACCTCTGCCTCCCTAGTTCGGTCTTGTCCAAAACATCGAGGAGTTCGTAGTCACATGCATCACCTGATTGTCGTAGTGATGATATATATCATCATATAATTATGATTACGATCGTCATAAAGTTGATGTATCTATAAGAGGATGGCGGCGTTTATCATGGAAAAGATGATGTTTCTATGCGGTAAAGATGACGTTGAACATGATAAAGATGCCTTTAAAAAGTTAGGAGTTGAAAAGTGTGAGATTTTTTTTTAATTTTTTTGAAAAAACACACTGCCCTACCGAAAAGTTTTTGTACCTCTTTGAATGGGAGACTCCTTGGCGGTCCTGATAATGATGATGATGGTGGTAATGATGCCGGTGATGATGATGATTATATATACGTACAGTTAATTATGCAATTCAATTTGTTATATTAGTAGCTTCATAGTTAGCGCGATTATTAACCAGCCATACAGCAATCAATAGAAAACAAGCTATCCAGCCAGCTGGTCAACCAATCAACCAACCAACCAACCAACCAACCAAATAACCAATCAACCAACCAACCAACCAAATAACCAATCAGCTAACCAACCAACCAAATAACCAATCGTCCATCCAATCAGCCAACTAAATAACCAATCAGCCATCCAACCAAATAACCAATCAACCAACCAATCAGCCAACTTACCAACCAACCAATCAGCCAACTTACCAACCAACCAGCCAACCGAATAGCCCTAATTATCCCAACCAAAAAACCAACCTTCGAAGCATCCGTCGCCCACGTCGTAATCAAACGCCTCGATCAGATGTACACTGCCCGGCCTCATCAGTGCTAGCATAACCTCTGCATACCTTACAACAACAACAATAAATAACAACAACAATATTATAATAATAATTATTATTATTATATTATTATTGTTATTATTATTATTATTATTGCCAACCTTTTCCTGTCTGATTTTTCAATGGCCACAAAGCTACCTCGGTCCCAAATGAAATCGAATGTCACGCCCTGACCAACTATGCTGAATAATAATAAAAATAGATAATAATAATAAATAATAAATAAATAAAATAATAATAAATAATAATAATGATGAAGATGATATTGGTTATGGTTATGATGACGATGATGATGACAATGGTAGTAATAGTGATGACGACGATGATGATAATAATAACAATAATAATATAATAATAATAAAATAATAATAATAATCTCTTATATTCAAATGAAAAAAAATATATACCTTGGAAATAAGAAGAAATTGCAGCAATATATTGTAATAGGTTGATTCAAACACTGATAAAGACAAAATATAATTATTTCATAATAATTATATAAAAATAATTATTAATCTATAATAAAATTAATATAATGAAAACAGTAATTATGATTTAAAACTGGCATGGACCTTGTAAACGTCACTGCCAGCTAAATTTGTGATCTCAAATTTTAAACCGTGTTCTTGGAAGAAACTTTCAATGGCTAGCTTACTGCACTCGACGCCAAAAACTTCGCAGCCTTGCTCTGATATCCTGGAAAGAATTAAGTTTTTTAAGAAAAAAAATTAATTAACTCCTAATTAATATATATATATATATATATTATTATTATCAGGACATTTATACAGCGCCAATTAAATTATTATCTCAAAGGCGCCATCATAAATAATGCAATAAATTCATGAATGACCGCATCTATAAAATCTATAAATAAATTCAATAAATCATAACATAAATTGTTTGTTACAACAAAAACAGGTAAGTTTTCAATAATTTCTTAAACATAATTAAATTTAATTCATGATTTCTTAAATAAAAAGGAAGGCTATTCCACA